CAAAACACACATTAAACAAGATCCTCAACTTTCAAATTGAACATGTAGAATCAATAAGGCCTATTCTTTTTTCTTTTTCTTTTTTTGTTTTGTTTTCTTTTTTCTTTTTTTTTTTTTTTGATTGCCAACAAAAAAGAATTGTAACTTAACCATGAGGTAAGGGTCTCCATTCAATATGGAAGGGTCAAGCAGACAGAACCATGATGTAATGGGACATTATAAATTAACCCACTTACAGAATTCATGTGAAGACTCGTCAGGTCTACATACTAGACTCGTAATGTTCTAACCAACTACACAATGGCTAGTCAGGTCCATGACAAAATACTAATTTCCAACACCAAATCACATCATGTCTTAATAGAATTAGAAAAGTGAGAAATGAAAAACTAGTGATGTTTAGTACTTTTACCTTGTTAGTTCTTCTTATTCTTCTTCTTCTTCTTCTTCTACCCTTTCTTTGAAAGGTGAACCTATATTTAATAAGGACAAGTATTGTAATTAATAAGATATTGTATTGTCAAAAAAACTTTGATTAAATGATTGCTCACCTCTTGGGATGAAAATGCATGAGATTGTTGTTGATGTGACATTGGCCAAATAGTGGGACAACTACTAAGTGAATCAACAACCTATAATTGAATAAGAGGCTAAAGTTGTATAGTAGCTCTGGACAATTTAAAGTAATAACTAGTAAAAATAATGAAAATACCTATTGCCTATGTACTGGGTTCGAGGGTGCAATAGCTGGTGCAACGGGCACGCCCGCAGCTTGCAATTGAGATTCCAAAATCTCAATTCGTGACTGAAAATCTGCACGTACTTTCTTTAGTGTGTGTGTGCGCACGCGCCTACGAATTTGGATGCAACTGACAAGAATTTTCCTCCTATTGTCTTCTTGTTTCTCTTAACGTTCAAGTTCTCAACTGTCTAATATACCTACGTTACCCGTTCCCCCAATCCAACAGAAAATGGTAAAGGCTAATCCTCTTAATCTACATATTATCTCAAACTACTATGTCAGTCCATACCAAAAAAATTAAAACATTGTCAATTTGTTCATGCCCTAGTCAAAGAACCTATGACAAGAAAGCACACACAGGCAAAACAAAGAACAATCTCTATAATGTAAGCTGAGTTTCATAACCAAAGGACTAAAAATAATAATATGCACGAATGAAAACATAGCGATAAGATTTTAAGGATGGAAGAGCTGTGCATGTCCTCAGTTCTATTATATATATCAATAAGAAACAAACAACACACTATACGGGAGCAAGAGAAAAGAAGTTTGACCTTGGGATTTGTAACAATGACTCCAAATGCACTGAAAGTATCATACAAAAGTTTCTCATCCACATCCTGCAAAGAAAATCAGAGCCAGGTTCGAAATTGAAAAACTATGTCATAGGCATATAGCAGTTTACAAGGCATGATAAATGTAAGGTTGCCTATCCATGTTTACCAATTTTCAAGATGTAAAAGAATTATGATATGCAATACAAAAAAAATAAAAAATAAAATAAGAAAGGGCACGCAACACGACATGTTATTTGACAACTTGGTCTCCATCATTAGAAAGGTACAATTGCTTCCATTCAGCCAATCCAGTTATGTGAATGGACATAGGAACTTTCTTCTAAAGTTTTTATACATTGAATTGTTGAATACATTTTCTTGATATCCAGCAGAAACAATAGATAGACAACCAATGACTATGTTTAACAGTTCCCATCGTGACAAAACATCATATTTAAGTACTAAAAAAAAGTAAAAGCAAAAATTATTCAAATAAGAAGCATCAGACCTCCCATATTCATCAACAGATTTGCTTTTGTACCCTTAAAAGTGATTAAAATATATTTGATGGTGCCCTACAAATTTGCAAGACTGTTATTACTCTACCTAACTTCAATAAAAACCATGGTTTGTTTGAGAAGGTAATGCTTGAACTCGCTCTCGACAAGGATAATCACAAGCGAAGGATGCCAACGCCATAGCCGAGTTCACTGTCTCAGGTTAACCCCCACCACACCTTACCGGTCCCACTCTGCAGCCCCTCTGCTATCTGAAGAACACAGTTCTTGAGGATTTTGCACTTCAACATCAAAGTCATACCAGCATAATTGCTGAGTAAATATGTCCCTCTAAAATTCTTAATTTACCACAAAAATGAGCATGGGGAACTACTTATATAAACGTTATCCATGAACTACTCATCAGATTCAGGAGGCCTCATTGAATCAGGTGAAAGGCACACCACAAAATCCATAGTCCAGGTACAGCGAGGGAGAAAATGGGAGGGTAAGATAAAAGATAAGAACAAAGGCATTAAATTTGAGTGAGAATCATTTCTTGTTGAGGCCATCTGTGCATTCACTTTAAACAGGAGTAGAGGGGATTTAAGGGTAGGATTTTAAAGAGGAGAAACAAATACCATCCTGAACATCCTTTAGTTCCACCACACCATTTTGCTGTTCATCTTTGACCTTTGAAAGAGGAGAAAAGAACTGCAAAGGGGGGGGGGGCATAACGGTAGATGGACAGTAGAATGGAAACAAAAACTAAAGTTCTAAGGGAGAATAATATATAATAGATTATGGTCATTATAGTTGGCAAACATATAAAGGAAATAAGACATACTTTACAAAGGGCTCTATATTCCTTCTGAAGGCGCTTTACACATGCTAAATATTGCAACTCTTAAATCTCAATATATATATGTACACATTACAATATTTCATTCCATTATTAGACTGTTCCTATTTTAAAATTAACAGTGTATTAGATCTCTTTTTGTGTATTTTCAAGTGGGTAACACCAAGAATAATAATTTTTAGTACACTAAGGAAAGTAATCAAACCTGCATATTTGAAGACAAATGAGGATAGGATTCCTTGTGCTGCATTGTTAAATATTAGAAGCATGGTAGCTTTTGAATGGCCTTCAAAAGATGTCAAAGCTACTAGGACCTGAAATATTCAACATTACAAAATTAGAGCCACAACTCAAAAATGTATATCCCATGAACCAAGAGCACTAATCATCCTCGAGTGTCCTATGCAGATTGAATTGTCCTGAAGCTACGCACATCCAATAGAAGGGTTATAGCCATTAAAAAGAATGGAGCCTTCAACACAACAAGGCATTAACTATTTCATGAAATTTTAGTGTGACTATTTCACACATTATTGATCTTTTCTTGCCCTTGCAGTTACAATGGTGTTGTGAGCGCCAGAGACACAAGGACTATGATCAGCACACAACATTACGCAAATCTGATAAGGTCGCATAAGATAGTGAGAACATAGACCTCAATATAGTAATTCAAATATCAAAAAACAATTATAAAAAAAAAAATCAACAGAACAAAAAAAAAAATTTAATGTGGCTTGTTATAAAAAAATAATAATAATAATAATAAAATAAATAAATAAATAAGTGATTCAGACCTCAATGAACCTTGTGCAGTAACGGAGAAGGCTGCGTTTGAACCACAACAGGGAAATGACATCACCCACACCATAACCCTGTTCAACAATGGAAGACATTGGGATACCAGCATATCATGGCTCTTTGCCTGCAAACAGAGATAAAAAGACAGATTTAGCAGAGTTTATTTCCAGTTTGAAGCAGAAATTCAGGACTGCTGTCCTCCCGGTATCCTAGATGGTGTGAGTTTAACAACAAAAGATTAATATTGCATTAATTCTCTATATTGTTACAGCAGTTATGGCACCTAAATATATAAGAGAAAGAAAACCCTAAACCCATACACAATATATATAGCATATATCATACCTCTGTCATCAGATATGGTGGATATAATATGAGTTGGAGCTCGGACTTTTCCACTCTTAATAGCAGTATTAAGATCCTCAGGGATTTGTGGAGGCTTAAACTTCCTTTGTAGGAGTAACATTGCCCCCCTCAACCTAAGCAAAATGTAAGCAAATGATTTACTAAAACTGGTGGTAGTGAGGAATGCCTACATAATGGCAGTAATGGGTATGAGATGTGCAACAGCTTACCAGCTTCTCAAATGTTTTTTTTTTATCACAGTTTCAAATGCTTCAAATGAAGTTGGGAGAACAGCTCCAACATCGTGAAGTGCTTGATTCTTGGCTTGTGCAGACTCCATCTCACCACCACTTTTGGCTCCCTAATTTAAGCAACGTTGAGCAAAATTAGAAAATAACACCAAAAATAAAATAAAATAAATAAACAAAAATTATATCCAAGGAAATTTAGCAGTAGCTCACCGCATGACCAAATTGTACTTCTGACTTGAAGAGACGTGCACAAGTTCCACTGACCCAAGCAACCACAGGTTTACTGATTTTCCCCTGTTTCAGGGCTTTCACTAGGGAATATTCATCTCGGCCACCAAGTTCTCCAAGCACAAAAATCATTTTAATCTGAGTAAATCAGAAAATTAAGTTAGCAAAAGGATAGGAACCAAAATACAAAGAAAAGAAACAGGAAAGTAAGAAAAACCAATAACTATATGACGTCTAATGATGCAGAAATTTAGAAGCTAGGTTAGAATAGCTTGGCCTAAGTAGGTGCTTTAGTACTTGAAAGTAGAACCAAACACAAAATTAGAAATTCAGATCTAGCTTCTTTGTAACCTTTAAGCTTGAGGCTGAGACCAATATATTAAAAGATTCACAAATATCTTCATCAACTGAGTGCTTATTGTGGCAGTCAAGCAACAAATAAACTTCACAAGAAAATTTTCGACTTGTACTAGTCAAATATTTTTACAATCAGCTGTTAAGGCAGCTTAGTATGGTAAAAAATCTGTAATAAATTATGCCACAGAAAATTGAATAGCAATATTAGGATCCTTTTATAAAATAGCAGCAATAGGCAAGACGCAGATTTCCACTTTTGAGACCATTTAAATAATTTGTTGTTCAGGTTAAGGCATTAAGCATACATTGTGAAGTTGATCCCAATGCATTGATGCAGATTATGCAGGTAACTTTCTCAATGAGAATAAAATATAGACACACAAAGTTCAACTCTGTGACAGAACCCACCCAACACAGATGAAAACATAAAAGATGAGTGAAAATGTAAAATTGAAGTAAAAACTTAAAACTTTATGAGTGTATTTCATAGTTAACTGAAAAGTTTACACAAATATAAAGAGATTATTTCGGTTATTATATACTTTTAGAGACAAAAAGCAAAAGCCCTCCAAAAAATGGAGTGATTGAAAGATTCCATACCTTTTTTTTTGTATTTGTTGTAAACTTCAGTCCCTTTCTCAAAATCCAAACAAAACAATTTGAACAAACACATATAAACATGTATGTAAAACAAATAAAGAGTAAGAGAGAGACCTTGACTGTAAAACAAAATTTGTCAATCTATTCATATATATGTATGTATGCATTTTGTGTTCAATTTTAACATCTACAATGCACATTATGATCTTCAATCGATCAATAGATCTTCAATCGAAACCTACCATACTTGAATCGAATCAATAGATCTTCAATCTGATCTAAGAATGATAAAGTAGATGAAACCTAGCATACTTGAATCGAAAGATTCCGTCAGTAAGAAGATCGAGATGAGACTGATCAACACTTAATATGAAGAAAGAGCTGCGAACGCGAACGCGAACGCAAACACGAACTAGAGAAGAGGCTTGAATCGATCTATGAATGCTTGAATCAATCTGCAAATACGAAGGGGTTCAGCTATGGTTCTACAAATATGAAGGGTTGTCTCTGAAACGAAGGGGTTTGAAGCTAGAGAGAGTGAAATCAAGGGTTTAGAGAAAGAGAGAGCAAGACTGAGAGTGAATAATACTTGAATCGATCTACGAGTAGATGAATCGATCTGCAAATACAAAGGGGTTCAGCTCCGGTTCTACAAATACGAAGTTTGAAGAGAAGAGAGAGAGTGAAATCAAGGTTTCAGAAAGAGGGAGACTGAGAGAGAATACACTACCTTATGTTCATATGTTAAAAAAATAAAAAATAAAAAAACACATTCGAAGGCGTTTTTAAAACGACTTGAAATTAAAACGATGTCGTATTGTTAAACAAAAAAATGCGACGTTTATAAAAACGCCATTAAATGTTAGAAACAGAGGCATTTTTTAAACGCCGTTAAATCCCAATTTTCTTGTAGTGCGGTGAGCTTTTGGTTTCTTTTCTTTTTTCAGCTCACATTTCGAGCCTTAAAATACTCAAACTTTTAAGTCTCAATTTCAGTTGTTTTTTCAGTCAACCCTAGGTTGATAGACTAAAACCTATCTACAACCCAAACAATTTCTTGTATTCTTGATTTTCCGACGACTTTCCGGCGACAAGAACCTGATTTTCTCTAAAACGACTGACCAACTTTTCTTTGGTTTTGTCGGTTTTTGAAGGTTTTAGTTAACTTTTTCAAGAATTACCGCACTCAAAACAGGGGCATTTCTCTAAATAAGTCAAAATACTAATTCAATTCTCAAATTAAACCTAGTTTTGAAAAAATTTCTAAAATAGATTAAAACGTGGTTCACAACCACGATTTCAACGTCTGTACGCTTATCTCGCGTGAAATTTGAGAAGTCTTAAAATCGTAATTACAAACGCATTTATGATTAAGAAATCGCGGTTACAAACCGCGCTTTTAGTTATATTTTTTTTTGTTCTGAAAGCGTGATTGTGAACCACGATTTTAACTTAATTTTTTTTTTCTTTTGAAAATGTGGTTGTGAACCACGTTTTTTTATCAATTTTTATTATTTTTTTTTTCTAAAAGCGTGGTTGTGAGCCACGCTTTCAATACACAAGTGATATTGCTGCTTGGCGTGCTATTGGACCAACTGATACATCAAGTAAGTCAACACTCATCAATAGTTGGTCCAATAAATTTATTTCATAAAAAAAAAAAATTCTAAAAAATAAATTTCTAAAAATTTACGCTACCTTAGTGTTTAGGGATAAAATTTAATTTTTTTATTTTACTAAAATAAAAATAAATAAATTTTAAGAATTAAACCCTAAATCCTAAAATAAAAAAAATAAAATTTATCCCTAAATATTAAGGTAGCGTTTGGTAACGTTTACGTTTTTTGTTTATATTTATGAAAATTTTATAGACTGGTTTTTATTTATTTTTAGAAAAATATAAATTACAAACGCGTTTGCTTTGAACAAAATGAGAGAGAAAAAAATTTTAATTGGGAAAAAAAATTTAATTGAAAAAAAAAAATTGGTCTTAATTTCAAATAATTGAAAAAAAATAAGACCAAATAATTGAAATTAAGATCAAATAATTTTTTTCAAATAATTTTTTTTTTCTATTAATTTTTTTAAAATTAATCTTTTATTTCAATTAAATTTTTTTCAAATATTTTTTTCCCAATTAAATTTTTTTTCAAATAATTATTTTTTCAATTAATTTTTTTTTAAATTAATTTTTTTAATTATTGTTTTAATTATTTTATTGTTTAAACCAAACGCGTTTGGAATTTATGTTTTTCTAAAAATAAATAAAAATCAGTTTATAAAATTTTCATAAATATAAATAAAAAACGCAAACGTTACCAAACGCTACCTTAGTATTTAGGGATAATTTTTTTTTATTTTTTTATTTTAGGGTTTAGGGTTTAATTTTTAAAATTTATTTATTTTTATTTTAAAATAAAAATAAATAAATTTTATCCCTAAACACTAAGGTAACATAAATTTTTAGAAATTTATTTTTATTTTTAGAAATTTATTTTTTAGAAATTTATTTTATTTTTTATGAAATAAATTTATTGGACCAATTGTTGATGAGTGTTGACTTACTTGATGTATCAGTTGGTCCAATAGCACGCCAAGCAGCAATATCATTTGTGTATTGAAAGCGTGGTTCACAACCACGCTTTCAGAAGAAAAAAAAAATTGATAAAAAACGTGGTTCACAACCACGTTTTCAAAAGAAAAAAAAATTAAGTTAAAATCGTGGTTCACAACCACGCTTTCAGAAGAAAAAAAATATAACTAAAAGCGCGATTTGTAACCGCGATTTCTTAATCAAAAGTGCATTTTGTAATCACGATTTTAAGACTTCTCAAATTCCACGCGAGACAAGTGCACAGACATTGAAATCGTGGTTATGAACCACGTTTTAGCCTATTTTAAAAATACTTTCAAAAATTAGACTTAATTTGGGAATTGAATTAATATTTTGACTTATTTAAGGAAATGACCCTCAAAACACGGCTCTGTTTTGGGTTGGGGAGATTAGAGGGAGAGAGAGACAGACGGAGAGTCAGTGAGAATAAGTACTTTGTCTTGTTCACTGACACCATCACTGCAAACACAAATCCCTAAAAGCCCTTTTCAACAACGAACACATAGCAATTTTAGATAGATAGATAGAGAGAGAGAGAGAGAGAGAGAGAGAGAGAGAGAGAGAGAGGTAGGTGAGAGGGGAGATTTGCGCGTTAGTACGGCCGAGCTATGATAACGCCGATAATGACGAACCGCAGGCCGCCGAGCTGAAGACTGGCCAGACACGAACCAATGCCTGGCCGAGCTATAACGCGGCCGAGCGCATAGCAGTGTCTGATGACCAAGCTAAGAGCAACTCGGGCTAGACCATGGGTGCGGTTAGGGCCGGCACGCTTCTGACCGACCAGCCGAGGTAAGTGGTCTTCGTGTGACCGAGTATAGAGGTAGGACGGGTGGAGGCCGGCATACCTCACAACCGGTTAGCCTAATGAACCGGTCAATATCAGCTCGGCCATGAGTATCGCCCTTTGGCCCCTTCGTAAGGGGTAGTCCGGCGGTGCATAGCTCGGTTGTGTGCATGTGATGGCAACTCTCTACAAGTGATAGGCCGGTCGTGGTATTCTGGTCGAGTGTGCCACCTGGACCAATGGCGTGAGGGATAGAGGAAATCTGCTCCAAGCATGCGCCAATACCGTTGGACAGTTCTGCGTGTACTGGTGGGAGGACTAAGCCTTTACACGCGTAAGGTGCTGAGAGGCGAGCACTGCCACCTGTCCTGGGAAGGATAGCAGAGGTAGTGCGCGCATAATCTTGAGGCTGCATGGCCAGCCTTGATACTTAACCCTTGTTCTTTGAGCTTCTTCGACCATTTCCATGGCCAACAACGGTGAAGCCCCACTGTCCGTCGTCGATGGCGTCACACCAGAGTATGTCCGCTTGAGAGAAGGCCCCCCGAATATTCCAACCATGGCGGACCTAGAGACTCCTTCGCGAGGTGCCCGAGACAAACGCGGGAGGAGTACCGATCGCTCGCAGAGTCCAGAGGGCCGCCGACGTCGGGGGGAGTCCCATACGCAGCGCCTGGAGCACAAACTCAAGGACCAAGACGCCCTCATTCGCAAGATGGCGGCGGAGATGGAGCTGCTGAAACGCCAGATTAAAGGGAAGGGTGTTGCTGGAGAGGGCAACCTCAGTGAGCGCACCTCGTCCCCTCGATATAGCAGTCGCCGCCAGGGGAGGACTCACTCTCTCTCCATCACCAGGAACTATGGGGTTGGAGATTTCGACCAAAGAGAGGGCAGGTCCCTCTCTCGCGACTGCACTTATCGCCCCTCACGCCTGGCGCCGACGTCGGGATCCTCTTTCTCCACACGTTCCAGGGACTTGGGGGATGTATTGGAGGAGAGGGAGCGCCGTCGGGAGGCTCGGAGAGTGCCGGCATTACAGAGATTGAGCGCTCCAGTCCGTTGTAGTGAGGAAGTGGCGATACCAGCCCCCCAAAGTGATGGCCCCTGCGCTGGTGGACAAAGAGCTGGCGCGACTTATAGCCACGCCGCTGTCTCTAGAGATTGAGAGTACACCACTCCCCACCAGATTCCACCAACCAAAGTTCACTTTGTACGACGGCAAGACGGATCTGTACATGCATGTGAGCCATTACCGGCAAGTGATGGCTGGCCACCAGCGCAACGACGCCTTGATGTGCCTCATATTCCCAGCAAGCTTGGGAGAGCTAGGTTTGAAGTGGTTTGAAAGGCTCCCGAAGGGGAGTACTGAGGGGTGGCAGCAACTAGCGGAAGCCTTCGTCACCAGATTCAAAACCAACACGCGAACACCGAAGGAGGTCGACCATCTCCTGGGCGTCAAGATGGAGTCTGGATATTCGTTGAATGCATACAATGCGAAATACTGGGAAACTTACAATGAGATCCTCGACTGCCCCACCAATCTGGCGATCACTCAATACAAATGGGGTCTCCTAGTCGGACATAGGCTGCGAGATTCACTCACGATGCATCAACCCACGACCATGGAGTCATTGATGCAGCGGATTAATGAGCACATTCGTGTGGAGGATGATGCCGCCTCCGCGACCGAGAAGGCTAATCCGGTCGCGACGGACAGAAGGGTGGCGGGGAAACTACCCAAACAACCGGTCAAAAGATCAGCGCCATGGTTCAAACGGTGATGACAGAAACAAGGGCCACCGAACCGACCGGGCTGACACTCCCCGTGATGCAGCAGAGGATGCCAAATGAAAATTAAAGGCACGGACTGGAATCACCACGGTGTTTAAAATCCCCATCTACCGCATTTTGAGCGAGATTCGAGGTGAACCCTTCGTCCGTTGGCCGGCCAAGTTGGGGGGTGCGCAGAGGGGCTTCAATTCAAAATATCGCTGCACCTTTCACGAAGAGCGAGGGCACCGAACAGAGGACTGTTTGCCGCTCAAACAACACTTAGAGGAGTTGTTGGCGGCGGGGCATCTTGACCAATACATAGATGGGGGCATCAAGGCCACGCCAGCGGACCAAGCCGAGCCAAACGGCCTGGCCGCCCTAGAAGCGCCCCCGCAAGGTGTAATCAACGTCATCCATGGCATCATTGAACCGGCCAGGGTCTGCGAGCTGAGAGGGATGATCAAGAAGGCCGAGCACACGAAGGAAGTGCTCTCTGTTCAGCCCGCTGTGAAGAAGGGAAAGACCGAAGAGAGGGACATCCTTTTATTCTCAACCAAGGACTTGGAAAGAGTTCAGATGCCGCACAATGATGCTTTAGTAGTCACTCTTTGTGTCAAAGACTTTGACATCAAGAGGATCTTGATCGACCAGGGGAGTTCGGTAGAAATTATGTATTATGACGCGTTTAAACAAATGAAGTTGGAAGACAAGGATTTGGCCCTCGTAACATCCCCTTTGGTCGGCTTCAACTCATAGCCAGAATGGCCAATCGGAAAGATTATTTTGCCGATCAAAGCGGGATCGGTCGTAAAGCAAGTAGAGTTCTGGGTGCTCAAAGTTCCATCGACTTACAACTTGATCTTAGGCAGGGGTTGGCTGCACGCCATGCAAGCAGTTGCTTCGACCTTCCACCAAGTCATGCGCTTTCCGGCACCAAGCGGACAAATAGAGGAAGTTTGGGGGGACCAGGTGATGGCGAAACAATGCTTCGTTGCGATAAATGGCAGCCGAGTGGCCATAGGGTTCGTCCAAATGATTGAAGGGCCCGAGGGTAAAGAGGTCCTTGAAGACGTAGGAAGAAAGGCCGAGGAAAAGTCGGTGAAAGATTTGGTGGAAGTGCGCATTGACGAGAACGATCCAACTAAATTCTTCCTCTTGGGATCATCCTTGTCTAGCGCCGAGTGGATGGATTATGTCAACTTCTTGGTTTCCAATTTGGAGGCCTTTCCCTGGACACCTTACGACATGCCTAGCATCGACCCGAGCTTCATTTGTCATCAGTTGAATGTCTTCCCCAATGCACGGCCAGTCATTCAAAGGACGCGCCGCTCAGCCTTGCATCATGCTGAAGTAGTGGCAAAAGAAGTGAAGAATCTGTTGGAAGCTGGAGCCATAGAGGAGGTGCAATACCCTCGGTGGATATCCAACACGGTGGTTGTTCTGAAGAAGAACGGCAAGTGGCAAGTCTGCGTTGACTACAAGACCGTCAACCGAGCTTACCCCAAGGATAGCTTTCCCCTCCCACGAATCGACCAGCTGGTGGACTTAACTGCTGGCCATCAGAGGTTTAGCTTCCTGGACGCATATTGCGGCTACCACCAAATAGCCATGTATAAACCGGACAGAGAGATCACGTCGTTCACAACCCCCAGAGGCTTATATTACTACAAAGTCATGCCGTTCGGACTAAAGAACGCCGGGGCGACTTTTCAACGGATGGTGACAAAGATGTTCGCCCCAATGCTGGGCCGCACCATGGAGGCCTACATCGACGATATGGTGGTGAAAAGTAAGGATAAAGCTCGGCACCTCTCTGACCTAGCGGAGATGTATGCTATACTTAAACGCCACAAGCTTCGTTTGAATGCTTCCAAATGCGCCTTCGGAGTCGGCACTGGGAAGTTTTTGGGTTTTCTGGACACAAATCGAGGGATTGAAGCTGACCCGTCACAGATCAAGGCTATACAAGACCTGGAGCGTCCTAACTCCACGAAGGACGTGCAATATCTTGCCGGGATAGCAGCCGCGTTGAACAGATTTATCAGCCGGTCTTCTGATCGTTGCAGGCCCTTCTTTAAAACTCTGAAGTCCAAGTTCTTCTGGGATGATGAGTGCGACCGCGCACTAGCAGACCTGAAAGCATATCTCTCCTCAGCCCCTATTTTGGTAACACCTCAGCCAGGCGAAGAGTTGTACCTCTACTTGGCTGTCTCTCAACACGCAGTCAGCGCGGTATTGGTTCGTGCTAAAGGCATCCAGCACCTACCGATCTTCTATGTAAGCAAGACTCTGCTCCCAGCCGAAACGAGATATCTTCCGTTGGAAAAATTGGCGTTGGCCCTAATGATGGCGTCAAGAAAGCTGGCACACTATTTTCATGCCCATACAATAGTTGTGTTAACTGAGTTCCCGCTCAAAGTGCTTTTCGAAAAGGCAGACTTCACTAGGAGAATTTTGAAATGGGTCGTGGAATTAGGGCAATATGACATCAAGTTCCGACCGCGCACCGCAATCAAGGCTCAAGCACTTGCTGACTTTGTGGCAGAATTTGCCCCTGGGATGCATCCAGTCTGCCCAATTGATTTGGTTGGCGCGGATTTAGCACAACCCATGGTTCTGGCAACAAAAACAAATGTTGGTGCGCAAGAGGAGGAAGGGCAAAGAGCGACCGAACCAGCGAAGGCGAACGACTCGACAAAGGAGGAAGTCAACCATGACGAGGAAAGAGACCAAAATGAGCCAACCAGAGACTTGGAATTGAGAAGCTCCCAGAACCCCTCTGATTGCTGGAAGCTGTTTATCGACGAGATGTGGAAGCTCTTCGTTGATGGGGCGTCCAACAAACATGGGGCCGGGCTGGGCATCGTGCTGAACTCGCCGGACGGGCTGATCATCGAGCAGGCAATTACACTCGGCTTCCCAGCATCCAACAATGAGGCTGAGTATGAAGCTCTCCTTGCCGGACTAAGAAGCGCGCTGAGAATGAAAGCCACAGCCCTTATGGTATTTAGTGATTCCAAGTTGGTGGTCAATCAGGTCTCAGGGGAGTATGAGGCAAAGGACGAAAGAATGGCCAAGTATCAGGCGCTGGTACGTGCAGAGATCAAGAAGTTCGCTGCAATAAGGATGGAACAAATCGACCGCGAGGAAAATAGCGCGGCTGATGAATTGGCCGGACTTGTTTCTGCTCAGACAGCTTTTCCTAACCCCTTGATGATAGAATTTTTACCCCGGCCAAGCATTGAGGAACCAGAATCAGCCGAGGTACTCTGCACCGACTTGGGCCCTTCTTGGATGGATCCTATCATTGCCTTCCTGAAAAATAGAATTCTACCAGAAGAAAAGAAGGCGGCACACAAGATCCGGGCAAAGTCAGAGCGGTTTTGGCTTTCCCCGTCCGGGGCCTTGTACAAGAAGTCTTTCACCGGGCCGTATTTGAAATATGTCCACCCCACCAAGGTGGAGGCTTTCCTCTATGAGATACATGAGGGCATCTGTGGCAGCCATACTGGGGGCAGATCCTTGGCTTACTGAGCAATTTCTCAGGGTTATTGGTGGCCGCGCATGCAGGCAATGAGCAAAAATATGTTCGCAGGTGCGAGAAGTGTCAGAAGTTCGCCCACTAGATCCACCAGCCGGCTAGAGATTTGCTCCCTCTCACAAGTCCTTGGCCGTTTGCGCTTTGGAGGTTGGATATTGTTGGGCCACTCCCAGCTACACCGACCAACCGCAAGTTCTTCATCGCTGCCACTAACTATTTCACCAAGTGGGTTGAGGCCGAGCCACTAGCGACCATAAGGGAAAAGGACGTGAAGAAGTTTGTATGGCAAAACGTCATCACCCATTTCAATATACCCAAGGCCCTCATCTCAGATAATGGCACTCAATTTGATGGTAAACTCTTTCGCGAATTTTGCGAGGAGTTGAAGATCGAGTTCTATAATTCGACGCCAGCCTATCCTCAGTCAAATGGTCAAGCAGAGGCCTCAAACAAGACCATCCTGGACGAGCTGAAGAAGCGGCTTGAGAAGGCTAAGGGCAAGTGGGCTGAAGAACTCCCTAATGTGCTCTGGGCATACCGCACTACGCCAAGGCGATCAACCGGGGAAACACCATTTGCTTTGGCCTATGGCATGGAGGTCGTCATCCCGTTGGAAATTGGCATGCCAACCATCCGCTCTGAAAGTTTCCAGTCGGATCTGAATAATGAAGCGGTGGCATTGGAGTTGGACCTTGCTGAAGAAAGGAGGGAGCGAGCATTGATCCACATAGCGGCTTATCAACAATAACTCTCCAAAAAGTACAACAAGGCTGTGCACCCCAGGCTGTTCAAGATTGGGGACTGGGTATTAAGAAAGGTGCTTGGCAACACAATGGTCCCTGGCGAAGGAAAGCTCGGTGCAAATTGGGAAGGACCATACAAGGTGATTGGTCTTGCTGGTAAAGGGGCATACCATCTGGAAGATATAGATGGCAAGGCTGTCCCCAGACCGTGGAATACGGCCAACCTTAAGGTCTTTTACTTTTAAGATGTACTTTGCTTGTGTTGTTTAGCTTTTTTTAGACCTTTAGCCTTTTGGCACTTAATGTAAAAGATAGCAATGCTTTTGTAATGAAAAATAGCCCTCTTGTTGTTTGGTAGTACACCTTTGTACAATGAATTCGCAAGGACGCAAGGCAATTATGAATGCCAGGGGCAAGAGGACCGACCTGAATGGGACCGGACTGCTTCCCACTCGCCGGAATGGAAGCAGACCGCACAAACAATTGCATTGTCCAACGACATAATTGGCGTATGGACCAATTCGCATTGGGACCGAGCTGAATATGCTCGCCCAGTCGAAATGTTGGCGTCATGGCCAAACTGAAACATTGGTGTTTTGCCCAATGTAAGGGCCAAGCTGATTTCGCTCGGCCCAGACGGCGTATTGGTGTCTTGTCCAATATGGAAAACGAGCCGATAAAAAGCCGAGCTGACTTTGCTCGGCGGAAAAGAAATGTTGGCGACATGACCAACCTAAATGAAACATTGGTGTTTTGCCCAATGTAGCGACCGGGTTGACTTTGCTCGGCCAGATTTAGCATGTTGGTGTTTTGTCCAACTAATGAGAAGCCAAGCTGAAATTGCTCGGCAGAAGTGAAATGTTGGCGATCTACCCAACTGAAAGGGCGAGCTGGTTTTTGCTGGGCCACGTTAAAGTACTGGAATTTTGTAAAGTTTGAAAACCCATCAAGGCCGAGCTGATTTTGCTCGGCTGCGTTCATGAGCCCTTAATTTCGAGCCGAGCATATTTTGCTCGGCATTTTAAAAGGTGCATTTGAAATTCCAAAGGAGCCAACCTGCTAGTTGAAGTTTGAACGCGTTTATGGAAATTTTGCACGTCGACGCCAAAAAGCAATAGAAGTTAAACAGGCAAAAAGTTGAAATTTCATTGATTAACGAAATTGCGTTACAATTGTGGGGCCCTAGCCCGGTTACATCGAACAAAAAACATGAAACGAAAATAAAGCAAGAAATGGGAGGAGGCATTTCAGTCCAGTTCCAGATCAACCGTCTGCTCGGCGACCTCCAGAGCCTGCTCCGCCACCTCAGGATTGTGCTCGGGCAGGCTTACTTCCAACTCATCGTCCGCGACCTCCACCGCGGCAACCTCCCGATCGGCTACTTGATCTTCAGCATCCTAAGACGCTTCAGGAGAAGTTTGCTTGGCTTATTGCGCGGCGGCGGCTTCTTCCGCGGCTTCCTTTTTCGCCTCCTCTATGAGCCTCTTCTGCACGGCGCTCGCATAGGCCTGCATATAGTGCGGTATGAAGGCCGCAGGCGGATGCAGGAACATGTCAGCATCCTGACCAAGGCCAACTTTCTCCACGGCAGCTTTCCAGCCGCACTGGAAAAAGATGTCCTTGGTCGCCTTCACCTGCCGTTCATACGTTCTTTCGCCTTGCGCATAGCCCTTGTCTTCAGCGTCGCTAACCGCCTTATCTTTCTCCTCTTTGTGGGCATCGCGCAGCTTCCTCAGCTCGGCGAGATACCGGGCTTTGGTCGACTTCACGGCCCGCTGTTTGTCCGCTTCAGCTCGGTCGACCTTTTGGCTCAGGTTATCTCGTTCGGCCTCAACCGCTTCCTGCGCGGCCTTAAGCTTCGCTATCTTGGCCTTTTGGGCCTTGTTCTCCGCTATTGCATCTCGCAGGCTCTGCCGCACCTTGATCATGCGGTCGTGGGCCAAATAGTTCTTTTGCGCGGCCTGAAAACAAGCGTGAGATGGTTAGTATCCGGTGAACCGAGCAAAAACCAAGCAAACAGTTCGACGTAAAAAATTGAGAACTTACCAGCACTATGGATTTCGCCGCCGAACGGAGGACCTTGAGGTCAGAAAGCTCGTCGTGTTTTTTCATATCAGCAGGCAAGATCAACCCCTTGGTCAAATTGAAACCAAGCGAGTAGTCCTTGTCCGCGTAGATGGAGTCTTCAGCAGAAACTGCTCGGCCCTGGTATTTGAACTCGGGCGCCCAGACCGGAGGGGGTGGATGGGCCCTTGGACTTGCCGGTCTGTGGTTGCTCGGTCTGGTCCCCGAGCTCGGTGGAGACGCCATCGATAAAGTCTTCATCGGCCAGACGCGGCCCGATTTGCTCTTTCCTCAGCTGCTTCTTGGACCGACCAGCCAGTTGCTCGCTGGTGAGCGCCAGTACTGCCCCTTGTTGCCCGGTGGGTGTAGAGGATGTCCCCCCGGTCGCCTCTAGTTTTTGGGACTCATCTTCTTCCCCGATGATCATGGACTTGATGGCCCTAATTTTTGCCATTTCTTGCTCGGCGGTGAGTGGAACAAGCCTGATCGGTGGTAGGTTTGGATCCGGTTCTGGGATTGGTGCGCGCAGAAAATCGGTAACCCGGCTTTTGCGCAGTGCGGTGTAGTGGTAGGTCTGTTCGAAGCCGAGCAGTTTCGAAGCCTCTCTCTCCTCGGCAGGATGGCACACCAGGACTCTGATGGCCTCTTGGTTGGCCCGGTAGTAGTCGGCTGCTAGGTGCTTATCTGCAAAAAGAAGACAAGTGTTAGATCGGCATGGAAAGTAATTGATGCATAAAGAAAATAGCGCGGTCAGCCGAGCGACTCACCGGCACTGCCAAAATCCTTTCTAATATACCATCCAGGTATGGGTGCCTCGGTGTCCTCATAGCTACCGGACACCCACAAGAAGTCGTCGTCGTTGGTCTCCTTGTCCGGGTTGCCCTCTATTAGCTTTGCTCGGCCCTTCTTGACTTTGAGGTACCAGCAAAGCCCACTCTTGTTTTTACTTAGACTATACTGATGGAAAATTTCGGCTAGACCGAGATTTAGACCGAGCCTCCGGTTCAGCTCGGCGACCCCGTTTATTATTTTGTAAGTGTTATTTGAAACTTGGGTCGGGCAAAGCCTTGTCTGCCTCAAAAATTCGCAGATCAAGGGTTGAACCGGGAAGCGGAGCCCTCCCTCTACTATTGATACGACGGTAAAGGGGCACCGGTCTAGATCCCCCCAAGGGGTGTCTCCCTTTTTGGCGAGCTCTAAGACGACGTCATCTGGGATGTTGCACTCCCTTCGAAACTCCGCCATCGCGCCGGGCGAGCTAACCATAAATCGGTACTTCCCCATTTATCTCGGTTTTATTTGGTTTATTGACTATCTCGATCAAAAAGGATGGTGTATTTGCTCGGACCTTGAGCTCCACCAATGATGGTTCTAGACTGGCCTGGACGGTCCTAGTGTGTTCTGCATTATTAAAAATAATTTCCAAGGGTTAGCACGGCAAAAATTGCGCGGCTTTTATTGCAACTAGCTCAATGAAAGGGTCACTAGTGTTTGGCCGGTTCGACCCCTACCTCGGCTATGCTACTCGTCGATTTCCTAGTTCGGTTCTAACTCTCCGCATCTGGCTCGGTCAAGGTCCAAGAAGGAGATCCTAACAAAGTTATAGCTCGGTCGGTTCTACTTGACGAACTAACTCAGTCAAGGCCCAAGTAACGACCTCAAGTTTTTGCCCGGTTCAATTCTATTACCGGTTTAATTGGTAGTTCGGCTCGGCTACAGCCTCTACGAGAAGCCACAAACCAGTTTTTGCTCAGCCGAAGTGTCATTTATGGATCTAAACGAGCGTTTAGCTCGGTTCTACCCAGATTCAAACTGTTCATCCCAGAAATAGGATGAACTCGTTCGAACCCAGGAGAAACGAGGGGCATGAAAGCCCCATCCATTCCTACTATTTTTGTTTGCCCTAGGGTGTGCAAGATCTAAGCAAGGGAAAGCAACTCTAATGGCCCCAAGTATAAACGTGGAGAATACAAGCACAAAAAAGTGAAAAACTTGAGGAACTCGAGTACGAGAGTTTGGAGAAAGGGTAGGAGGACTTACCAAATACCAAATGCAAGAGCAGGGCCTCTCGAACTTGGTTGTGACCTCACGAGAAACAAAAAATGGAAACGGAGGCAGGTGAGACGCGGAGGCAGTGAGGGGAAGTTCTCAGAGAATACGGAAGCTAGGGTTTAGGGTGTGTGGAA